GATTTAAAAAAACACAAATGTAAAATAGATATTAAATCAAACTGAAAGCAATTATTTTATTTACCCATATCTCTTGTCTATCAGTATAAATAAAAACCCTAATACATGGTACACCAGTGATTATTCTGTACTTAACTGGTCATTTGTTATAAAAAAAATTATAAAGAAAAAAAAATTTAATATTCCAATTTGTATCCATCAATCAACAACATCCCAGCAGATGTATTTATTGATATTCAATCGGACTGACCTGGAAACTGAAATGATTTGTTTAAAAAACAAACAGATCAGAATAAATGGGTCTGTTCCTGATTTAGTTCTGATCATATTTATCACACCTCCTTAGTATTTACTCAGACTTTGTACTGAAAGTGAAGCCGAGGCAACCCCCGTGTTGAAGTTACTGTCTGCCTTGTAACAATAAGCGGCCATTGTGTCTCAAACGTCGCACAAAAAAACACACCCTCTAAAACCATGGAAAAATGCTCCCATACAAGAGGATGTTAGCCGATTCATTTCAGCAGCTGTGTAAAAACGTGATTTTCATACAAAGATCCTGTGAGAAGTGAAAAACAAAAGAAAGCTACTCTTAAGTGTGAATAATTACCACTTCAGACACTACTGATCACAAATGCTGACAAAACCTTTGTCATTTTCCACATCTATCAGTGTGAACCTAGAATGTTTGTCCTGTTACTGTATGAATGGGTGTGTGAATGGTTCTAGATCGACAGGTATGTGGTTTCCTGAGTCTTGCTGAGCACCAATACAACCCCTGTCTTGAAGCTGATTATTTACATTAACACATTTATAATGTGCATTAGTTTTCTGTATTTAATTCACGTTTAGAAGTTTGGGAAAACATTACAAAATTACAATAAATCCACTATTTATTGGGCAAAAGAAAGCAGTATGAATCATTCATGGACAACAGACATACTGGATGGAACAACACAAATAAATTATTTTTACACTTGAAACACATGAAATTAAAAGACTGCAAAAATCATATTTGGAGAAAAACACAAACTTCTATCAGGAAATATTGAAAAACTGAAACTCATGGTGTACACAAACTAAAAAAAAGCAGTCATCTGAATCACATCAAAGTAAAAAAACATATTCATTACTGTTTTAAGATCAAAAGCCAATCGTTAAGAGAATAGTGTGACACTGGAAACAAAACCTTAACAAAGAGCCCATTTATCTGCAGTGACTAGGCTGAAAGTTTATTTATGACAAAACTAACATTTTAACAGACTTTTCAGTCAAAAATGTTAAGATGCATCAAATCTTAAAGGGAATGTCACCCCCTACCAGAGTCTTGCTCCACTCCCACTTCCTGTTTGAAAAACGCAAAAAAATGCTGTTGCCTGGCAGACCAAGAGGGCGGAGCCGCTAACACACACACACACACACACACACACACACACACACACACACACACACACACACACACACACACACACACACAGGCACACAACAACAATGTGACATCATAATGCATCAGCTAACATCATAGTGTACCTCTTAGCCAATAGCAAAGGCAGATATAAATTTAAATGCAGAGCAGAGTTTTTACCTGAAGATGGCGCAACACTGACAGTTTTAGGCAGAATATTTTAAATTTAATTAAGATGCACTAAAGTGCCAAATAACTGACTACACGTGTCTTCAGCATGATTATAAACTCCTTTAAACAGTTTATCAGCAAAAAAATGTTGTTTTGGGGGTGACTTGCTCTTTAAAGGGGCATTATGGAAGTTTGACAGCCAAACCATGTATAGAAATAATACATTTCTTCTTCATACATTCTCCTGCAATGCCCTGGTCCTGTAGAATGAGCCCTGGCATTTTTACTGTGATTGCCTGTTTTTCTGTAAAATCACAGAAAAAGAGAGCTGCTCGGGTCGAGCCCATAGCCCGTAGCATTTGCTATCAGTAGCTTTAGTCTTTGTCGCTGTTCCTAACGCCTAGTGACAAAGCTAGCTACATTTCTGAGGACCCTTAGCTACTTTCTGTAGAACTTTCTTCTAGATATTTCCTGCAAATTAGCAACAAAATAGCCATTTTCGCTCCGAACCATTCTTTGAACGTTGTTTCAGCTGTCATAAAGGATATAAATATTACAGTTACAAACGATGTCGCTGATGTCACTGGCGCTGTAGCTCACCGAGTAAGATGTTGGACTTTCGCGCAGGACACCCGGGTTCGATTCTGGATATCAACAAAGATTATTTAGAGTTTCTTTTTTACATTAATGGTATATTTTTTTACAGTAAGATGCCCAAATTTTTATTTGAGACTCGCCGAACGGCATTGAATTCACAGATAAAAAAGATGTGGGTTCAACTTTCATTTTGGAACGATTTTTCAAGCAGAAGAGAAAGGTACAGAACCAAATTATTTAATTAATTAGCTGCACATTCTGTCCTCTGTCCTCCGACACACACACACACACACACACACACACACACACACACACACACACACACACACACACACACACACATGCGGGACTGTCTCAGCTGTTATTTTCAGGAGTGTGCACGTACAGCATGTGCGCCTCGTGCACGAGCCTACTACTAAAGCTGTCGTTATGCTTTTGGCCTGAGGGGGCAATCGCGAGCATAAAAATTCTAAACTCCGTAAAGTCCCTTTAAGGCCTAGTCCACACGTAGCCGGGGTTTTTTGAAAACGAATATCCGCCCCTCCAAAAACTTGCATCCACACCACCTCGTTTTAGTGCAAAGAGAGAAAACTGCAAGCATGGAGTTAAATGTAACAGTTTTAGAAACTATACTTGACATAACTGAAAACAGACAAATGAATCCTTACTAATGAAACTTATTAAAACAACACTTTATTTACTGACCCTTTGTTTTCATTGGACAAGAAAGTGTAAAATTACTGAGAAAACTTTTTTGGGGGGGGGGCTATAAAACTAGGTTGATTAGATCAGAAAGATTATCTCATTCCAAATGATAGAACTGTGAAAAAGATTTGCATAAACTGCAACAACGCATAAACTTAAGACACTTTTGCCTCAGTTGCAACAAGGAAATTTGCACATTTGCAAATATGCTCAGAATTTTTTTGAAGTTTTAATTTTTGAAAGAAAGAAAGAAAGAAAGAAAGAAAGAAAGAAAGTATTTTATATAGCGCCTCAAGATAAAAATCACAAGGTACTTCAGATAACAAAAAATAAAATTAAAGTACACAAAAAAGATTTCAAAAAACGATCAAAAATATGTTCAAAATGAGATAAATTATTGAAATAAAAAACAATTATGTAAGGAAAGAAAGAGAGAAATTGATTAGGAAAGAGGGAAATCAGTGGATCCCGGGAAAGGTGGAATAAGTAGAAAGAGCAGAATAAGGAAAGGGTGGTGATGAAGGTCACACCAAAGCCAGCTTGAACAGGTGAGTTTTCAGCTGCTTTTTGAAGGAGACCTATGAGTCCACTGAACCGGACTGTGAAATGAAAATGTACAAAGTTTGTGCCATCTAAGAGAGGTTTAAAATAAAAAATGTGGATATTTTCTCCCAATCCTGTATCTCTAACTAGTCACCAACAGTTGCAGCCCTTAGAGATATGGTCCTTTCTTTGTCATTCACAATCATAAAGAAGTTTCTGCAACTTTTCTTATTAAAACAACACTAAAGTGTTTTTAACACTTTAAGCTAAAGTGGTTTTAGTGATTCTTGAGGTAGAAACCTCATCATTTCATATTGGACACCACTGGCCTCTGCTGACCAGAAACCACACCACAGATTTTTAGCATTGGTAGTTTCACTAGGTGGCACTGTCTACCCGGTTTTTGGCTGTTAGCTATTTCTGTGCCGGTAGCAAATATAAAAGCTAGTAGATAGCTTTTTCAGTTCACCAACCATCAATAAAAAGCACAAAAAGAAGAAAAAGAAAAATTTTGCCTTTTTTGCTGGCATCATTGTGCAGTCTGGATGTAAAAGTAGGAACGTAAGAAAACAATCAGTGCAGTTACATGTGCACTGAACGACATCTAAGTCGATCCAGGCTTACTGTAATAAACTGGGAGTCTTTATCCTAGTTTACATGCGGACTAGAAAACTGGCCTCTCAAATAAAGTTTGTTCCACTCCGATACAATAGGTGGCGACATGCGCCTTTTCATGTCGGCATTCTTCCGGTTAGCTTATAGCAACACAAACAGTAAACAGAGGCTGGTGGGAGTGAAGCAGCCTGAAATGAAACAGGATATGCACAATGGCTGAAGGAATGGGCATCAACAACACTGCGGCACAGCTTATTTGATACATGCTCTCCTGTTTTGTGGCGTTATGCGTGTTGTTTTGTGACGATGGTCTTATAAGAAGACCACTTCCATGGTGTCGTCAATTCCGGAATGCGAGCGTCCTACCGGTTTAGTTTGGCTAACCCGTTTACATGCAGAATGTAATCAGATTGCTACCGCATTATCTGGGTGCTTCAGCTCAATTACAACCAGTCTGCCTTCAGTCAGACTAACACATTTACGTGCATTAAAAAAAAACTATGCGAGTCTTTTTAGTGCAATACTTCAGTTTTCTGATGTGCATGTAAGGTAAATGGTCTGTATTTGTGTAGTGTCTTCTAAGGGTTCTACCCCCCCAAGATAAAGTAAAATATGGCCTCAGAGAGGTAAAAACAGGACTGATGTTTGGATGTCCTAGCAGTGAATGTGTGTTTTTCCTCAGTGTGCTTATATTGGAGAGATTTGGAATGCAACTGAAAGAGGATATCCCTTGAGCCATTTCTAGATTCTTTCTTTATTACATTTTCATACATTTGCCTCAATTTCACCTGCAGGCAGAATAGAAACTGTGACACAAATTCAGGCAAACCTTATTTGTTTTTGGTTTGCCCCCCTTGCTCTAGAGTGTCTGCTCCCAATTCAGCTACTTTGGTCTTTTGACAACACATGAAACTCAAAACTGCAGATTCAGGTAACAGTGACTCCTAATCCTTGTGTACAGCCTTACCTTGCAACTGCTGCTGCTCCAGGGCCAGTGTCTCTAGTGTGTAGTTACAGAACTCCAGATTCTCCAAGACTTGTAGACGGGCCGTCTCATCTTCCTCCTCCTGTAGCATCACTCTGAGTTCCTCTGCTGTTCGTGCATACTCCTCCATGTCATGCTCCACGTCTTGTAGCCGTAGCAACAGTTGGTACCTTTCCTCCTCTTCCATCTGTATCTCACTTTCCAACTCAATGTCCTTTTCCAGCTCTTTTTCTGCATTTACTTGTCCCTGAAGTTCATGTTCCTGAGTGGCCGTGTTGTCAACAGATTCAGCTTCAACCTCTGAGTGAGCTTCTGGTGCCGGTTCATCAGGAGTGTAGAAGATAGGGCTATTGGCGTGGTGGCTGTAGGATGGACGAGTGGCATTTTGTCTTGAACAGCGTGGTGGGGGACGTGGAGCAGGACGAGCTGGTTTGTATGAAGCCGGGGCAGGGGGGCGCAGGTCTCGAGGACGAGGAGGTGGAGGGCGAAGGTTTCTACGCCTGTCCAAAGATGAACACTTAGAATAGGGTACAGGAGAATGCGAAGTCCCGCGAATTATATCATTTTCGTCGCTGTATTCAAGTATAGAAAAGTGGCGGGAGATGTGTGTCTGCTGGTTAAGGACAGTGGAGGATAAATCATCCTTCGAAACACCAGAACTCTCATTAGTGTCACTACAAGAAGTTGTCAAGCTTTTCTCAAATTCAAAAAGCTGCTGAGACAGCTTGGCTTCCAGGTCACTTGCTGATGTTGCCAGGGCTTCTAAGGTAATGGATGTTGGTAGTATCCCATTAGTTCCCCGAGTCCTCTGCTGGTAACGTGGTTGTGCTTCAACTCTCTGTCTCATATCGGCATCACCAACACTAGCATGGCGAATTAGCCTTTGCTTGTGGCCTACAACATTCAGTAAAGCCTGGCCAAGACTAGGTGGCCTATTACTAGGAGAGATCCTTTCTATTGATGGTTTCTGGGAATAGGTCTTTTCTTTTGACCAACCAGGCTGAGAGCCATGAAGAAAAACACTGTGAGATCGTCTAGGCTGTATTGATTGAACATTTCCATTGGTATAGTTGGACTGATTTCCACTGGATTTCAGACCAGCTTGTTGCCTGGGCCGATTTGCAGGCCGACTGGGCCGAGGTGGGAGTCTTGGCCTTGCAGGAGGAGTGGATCTAGGTCTCTCAGGCGGTCTATGAGATGGGCGGATAGGTCTAGGAGGCAGAGACCTCTGTTCCCATTGATCAGCGTGACCCTCACCACTTTTATGTTCATATTGCAACCTTTGCTCTTCAGTTCTCTCAAAGAAGTCCAAATCCCACACAGTATGGTCCTCATGTACTTTCCATTCAGGATCCCTCTCTGACCTGCTAGAACATTCATGGTCAGAGTGTTGTTCAGTACAGCCATTCCCCTTTCTGTCTTCAGGTTCAACACTTTCCTCTGTAGTTTTCTGCCCATCATCCTCAATTTTAACAAAACGATGAGGAAAAATACCTTGCTGCCCCCGCAGCACCCCCTCCAACCAGCCGTCTTCCAGAGTGTTTACAATACGAATGCGATCTCCCACATCAAAGTCCAACTCACCTGGCTCCATGGCCCGAAACTCATAAAGTGCAACTCCATAGATTCCATCCATATCCTCGTACTCTTCCTCTACAGCAGCTTCCTTCTGTTCTTCTTCTCCAAGAAAGACTTCACCTTCTTCCATAACTTCCTCTTCGGTCCCTTCTCCTGCATCATAAGAGTCCTCGTAGATTAACTGCTGGGGGTCACGATTCAAATACTGACAGTCAAAAGGCTCCTGAGGAGACCGGAGAGGAGCCAGGAGTTCCACAAATCCCTCTGGGAAGATGCCTCTTCGGTCATCCAGCTCTCCCTGGAACCAGCCTGGCTCAGGCAGCCCTGTGATGATGATCAGGTCCCCCTCTCGAAAGTCCAGCTCTTCATTGAGCTGTGCATGAAGGCTCATAAGTGCTCGGGCTTGGCCTAAAGCGTAAGGCGGAAGCTCCAAAGCCTGGGCCTGAGCCGAACGCTCAGACAGCTGCCTGGAGCGGCCAGAGAGGAACAGCTCCTTTACACACGAAGTAGGAAAGAGACCACGGACTCCCCAGGCATTGCATCCACGCTGCCAGGCTTCCCCGAGGTCCTTGGACTCTCCTGCCTCTCCCACTACCACATCACCTACAGATGAAGGAAAAAGGGAAGTCAAATTATTATGTACAGTTTTCTTGTAGATAAATGATCTATTGTCATGTCTAGCATTGTGATGGGAGCTGGACGTCCACAAAAGACGGACTAAAAATGTGTTTTTGCTTAGAAAGTTAAACCTAAAATTCTTTGGGGGGGGGCTGCTGCTGTTTGGATCACTGGCTGTAATGCACATAACACACAAGCTTGCAATATAAAGAAGGATAGCACATGTCCCCCTCCAGCTCGGCTGTGTGACTGCACTAACCTGTCCTGTTTGACCCTCACCATGTAACTCTCATGTCCATGCTGTCTCTGAAGGAGCAGATAGGAAACAAGATCTCCTGTAACTTAAAATGAACCAAAGCTTCCTCCCAGTTTCTCTTTAGGTTGAATTTAACATCAGTTTATCATCATGAAACAAAAGAATAAAGTGGAACAAGAACTTCTATCTTCTATTTCTCTCTCCTTTTAACTTCTCCATGTCCCTAAATAAAGGATACAGATGATCATGTATCACTGACCCCGCTCCCTCCCCAAGACCGGACCTTCCGACATCACAGCACTCTGACTGAGCGCTTCCAGGAGAAACAATAATGAAATTATGAAAATAATAATGCGTGTTTAGAGGAGCGTCCTCCGATCCTCTCTCTTGTGTGAGCACACAATCTCCCGCTCTCTCTGTCTCAGTCGCTGATCGAGCGAGCGGAGCGTGCCTCGCGACAACCCGCTCAATGAACATAATTCACGGCCCAAATCCAACAGAGCCGGTCGGGCTGATTCGATTCGGGTTCGGTCTCAGGTTGTAACTCCAGCGCTCAGCCCTGCAGTACCACATAAAGGCAGATCAAAGTTTCCTACCCGGTAAATGTGGAGAACACCGTTCTGACTGATTTTGATGCTGCGCTGGTGCCGCCGTTAAAATAACAAAACACATTCTACTATAATTGATTATGGTACTCTTCTATGATGCAAAACCATTTATGCCCGCATCTCATGCATTGATTATTTGATTATTTTCCTCAGCTCTATCCTAAACCTCCCAGTCGGCCATCAGGGGTGGGGGTGGGGGGTGCGCGCAGGGTTTGGGGGCCACAAAGAAAGGGCTCGCGGGCCGGACGTGGCCCACGGGCCGCCATTTGCGGACCACTGGCATAATCATTCATCTCTTTTTGGCTAATTTGGCTTTATTTACATTTTATTTTTGTGGAAAAATACCTGAACTAAATTTTCATTCACCTAAGGTTCTAGTAAGGCTAATGAGGATTCAGCTTTGTCACTGACTTTCTTAAAACATTAAATACTATGTTCTACCATTACCGGAGAGGAAGGATTACAGGAATGTTGTCTGGTCAGCCAGAAATCACAAGGGTCACATTCCAAAGACCTGGAGCTCCACCTCTCATTGTGTCTGGGACCGAAACTAGAATAGAGCCGATGTAGCCATAGGAAACAAAACTGGATGGACAATCATTAAGATGTCCCCTCTATCCTCTGATATGGTAAATAAGAATTATAAGTGAAAAATAACACAGAAATTCTGGAATTCATTATTTAAACTAGATATGAGCTTGTTAAGGAGTGATAAATACTTGAAATTAGGGCACTCAAATATTTTTTATTTGCCTTATGACAGTGACTCATCTAAAGTCTTCATGCTTTAACATGACCAGTCAGAATGATTGAAATATTACCAGATGAAGAACCCCCTGAATACTCCAACTGCAACATTAGCTACACCTACCAGCTATTGTAGTAAAAAATAAAGACACACGTATGAAAATGTAAACTTACTTTAAACATAAGTCATGCACAAGTGTGGTGAAGAAAAATTCAAATGTGTTTATGTGAGGAATTTCAGGTGGTGAGAAGAAAAACAGATTAACACAAATTTTAAAAATGTAAACTTGGCCTCTGAGGACATCTAGTGGTGGATTTTGGTAACTGACTTATAGTGTGATTAACAGCAGTTCCAACAATCAACTGAGGGTGTGGTGTATTTTAAAATGTATGTGTAATACACTTCAAATACCATACCATACCATACCATACCAGTTTATTTACAAAGCACATTTCAAAATAGCATGGCAGCTAACCAAAGTGCTGTACAGGAGAGCCAAAGGCTCAAACACAACAAAGACAGAATAAGAGTAAAATATAAACTAAAACATATGACACACATAACAGCAACACATAAAAGCAGGGCATAAAATTACATTAAAAGTTAACTAACCATAAAACAAGTAAAAGCACTAAGATAAAGAGATAAAAGAGAAACAAGTACAAACTAACTGAGCTAAAAAGTACAGAAGAATGTCACAAGCTGCCGCTAAGAGAGAAGCGTCACACTGAAGTATGAAGACAGTCATGTGGGAAAAGCCAGGCTAAAATAGCGTGTTTTGAGGGCAGACTTAAACCTACATAGGGAAGGTGCCTGACGCCCATAGACGCACATGGTAGCCTGGCCTGCCAGACTTGTCCTCTGTTTAATTCTGCACAGAGAAATTTCTCCGTTTAAGAATTAAACAGGAGTCTGGCAGGCCAGGCTACGCACATGGAGAGAGTTCCAGAGTTTAGGGGCAGCGTGTGAGAAGGCACGCTCACCCCGACATTTATAGCGAACCTTCGAAACAATCAGGAGCAGCTGAACGAAGGGCACGAGTGGGTGTGTAGAAATGCAGCAGGTCAGGTTGAAATCAACAAAGAAAAAGTATATTATTAGATAAACACTAATAGTTTCTTCAGAGCCAGCCTGAGACATCCAAGATGTAAAACACAACGCTACCGTAGACCATTCATCCTCTGTGTACAACTCCTCAGTTTAACTGGTACTGGCATTATCCTGGTACACAATAGCATCAACGCAATATTCAGTATGTGTTCGATAACTGTGCAATACTAGATGTAGATTAGCATGTCTGTGCTGCATAGTTTTGGAAACCAGTGTTGTCTTTCTATTTGTTGTTTTTACTGGTTGAAGTTTACAACAACAGCTTATGTCTTTATGTGTTTTCCTGTAATCTTTTTATTCTTCTTCTTCCTTTTCTCTAGTCTATGTTGTGTATGCTGTAGCAAATGAATTTCCCCACTGTGGGATAAATAAAATCTATTCTAGTCTATTCTATTCAATTCTAATAAATATTTACATTTCATGAGCCAGGTTCAAGCAAAAGGCATACACATATTTAGAAAGGTATTAAAATAACAAAAGTAATTAATTTTACATTGTTGTAATTCACTCTTGATTTCTAATTAGCATCATGGTCACAGAAATCTAAATCTTTGCCAATTTTTGTGATTATTATTTGATCATTGCAGTTAAAATAAAAGACAGCTCAGAAAATATGACGACTATTCCACTACTATTAAAACACAACAACAACAGATTTGACTTTGCTCATCTGTTTCAGGATTGAAATGTTTCTCATCTTATAAAAACTGTTGGATTATTTCTAAATACTCATCTCCTTCCTGTAGAAGAAAACCACCCTTTTCTCACCTCTCAGCTGTTTTGATAAAAACAAGCCATTGGAAGTGTCTGGCTATAGTTAAACATTTTAACTGCAATAATACATAGCACAAATACAATTTAAGAGCAAATTAAGTCTAAACCCTGTGCATCATTATATATTTACTCTGAACACAAGACTGTGTGCGGACTAGATTTTAAATGAAAATAATCTGATTTAATCTGTGATTTTTTTCTGACAGTGTTAAATGCTGCTTAGAATATTTTGAGAAACATTGTGTGATTTAAATGTTTGTGATCAGCTAACTTTGCGTCAAAGGAGAGAAGGCATCAGTCAAATCTGACAATCAGGTCACAACACGACACAGAAACAGCACAAACGTTTACCTGAGCTCTGCAACATCAACAAGTAGCGTTAAGCTAAGTGAGAACACACAGGCTGTTAGTGTGAAGAGCAAATGTGTTCAGTTTGGTTAGATAACACTCCAAAGCATGCTAATGATATATAATTTATTTTGGTTAAAGTTTTGTGTATAAAATACAACTGTACCTCTTTTTAGGGACAGAGTCCCAGACTCAGCAGAGCTGAAGTCATTGATGCACACGTAGAGTATGTCTCCTGGCTTGGTGCTGGGGATGGTAACCTCCTCCACGAAGGTGCTGGGAAACTGACCTTAAGCCATAAAAAAGACAAATAAATAACAGTCAGATGAAAGAAAATGTTCTCTACGCATGGACAATGCAGTACTTCTGTTTCTGCAAGATGTGACTGAACGACCTCTTGGTTATCTAGCTTCTGATTTCTAATTCTAACCTATTAATTGGAGCTGGATTGTGGCGCAGCCAGTAAATGGTAAATGGCTTGTATTTATATAGCACTTTCTTAGGGTTCTTCACCCCCCCCCCACAAACACACACACACACACACACACACACACACACACCCCCAGACATTTCACATCACAATCAGTCATTCACCCATTCACACACACATAAACACACTGGTGGGGATGAGCTATGATGCAGCCACAGCTGCCCTGGGGCGCACTGACAGAGGTGAGGCTACCCAACACTGGCGCCATTGATCCCTCCGACCACCAACAGCAGGCAAGGTGAGTTAAGTGTTTTGCCCAAGGACGCAACAGCAGAATTCTCTGGTGGGAGCCAGGATCGCACCTACAACCTTCCAATTACTGGACAACCCCACCTCCTGATCTACTGCTGCCTAAGCAGTAGTTCCTCGCTGAAAGAGGTTGTGGGTTTAAATCCCGGCAGCTGCCTTTCTGCATGGAGTGAATGTTCTCCTCATGCATGCATGGGTTTTCTCAGGGCACTCCGATTTCCTCTCACAGGCCAAAAACACGTTAGGTTTACTGGAGACACTAAATTGTCCTTCAATGGGAATGAGTGGGTTTTGTCCCTGAGAGGACTGGTGACCTGGCCAGGCTGTCCCCTGCATCTTGCTCAGTGACAATGGGGACAAACACCAGCATAGATGATGGACGGAAGGAATTCATTAATTTCATTATTTTAAAGCATATCAACAAAATACACATTTGAAATCAACTCAGAATGCATGGATACTAAAGTGTGTGCTACTGAAATGAGAAATTGGTACAAGTTATTTTTAATTAAATATCTGATGAAGAAGAAGAAGAAGACAATCTTTTAAATAGTGCAGCTAAAGATAAAAATCACCAGGCATTTCACAAAAACAAAAAAAATTAAAGTATAAAAAGATTTTAAAATGATTAAAAATATATTCAAAAGGAGAAAAGAACAAAAAATATGTAAGGAAAGGGAGCGAGAAAATGAATAGGAAAGAGGTAAATAAATGGATCCCAGGAAAGATGAAACAAGAACAAAATAAGGAGAGGGTGATGATGAAGATCATGCCAAAACCAGCTTGAACAGGTGAGTTTTAGCTGCTTTTTAAAGGAGACCACTGAGTCCACTGATCTCAGGCTCAGGGGGAGAGAGGTCCAGAGTCTGGGGACCACAGCAGACATAATCCACAGCATTATTCAGACCAAGACTAATGATAATAGCTACTACAGCTTAACCTCCTCAAGGAGAAAAGCTTTCCTTTAAAAGGTTGAATATGGAACAATTTCATAAAAAGCTATATTAAAAAAATAATACCTCCTAGAGGTGTGCAGAATGACGGTACAGTGTTTCCTTTTGAGGTATAATTTTAATTAAAAATAATGAAATGTTTATTTTGACAGGTGCGACCCTGGGTTTATGTTTACATCTACCAGCCAACAGAGGGCACCATTGCAGGTTGTCAAACAGTTCGCTTGGCACAGCGAGGCTGGCACTGTGGAAAATGGCAGACTCTACAAGTCAAGCTGCGTCTGAGCCCAGAAGATGTTGTTATCCTTCTCAGAAGAGGAGCAATGATTAAACAAAACCAGAGTGAGTTTAGGTGAAGCTACAACAGATGGACCCAAATAAATAATTTCACGTTGGCTGCGAACCTGCCACCCCGACGGCTGGAAACCTTGTTCTATTGTTGCAGCTACAACCTCCACACACTAGATGTTGCTTTGGTGTTCATGTTCCATATTCAACCTTTAACAGCTCTTAATGTTGGAGGTGCATGGTGTCTTTGAGGACATGAGATTGAACTGTTTTGAAAATTAAAACATAAATAGTTACAGCTATTAAACAACGTGGTGAAAGACAAAGAGCAAAGCTAACACAGGTATGAAAATCAAATGCTTTTTGCAACACCTGGAAATTACATAAGCATGGGTGGGATTCCCTTCAATTGCAGCATGAAGTCACACTTAAATGTGGGCTAACAGCATCAGCTCTACTTAGCTAGCAGTGCAGAATGAGGCACAACTGTCCCAACTCCCCTAGGAAGGACTCTGAAACAGACAGAAGCTCTCATATCTTAAGATGCACATCGTGTTTCATCAACGAAATCTAAATAAATATTATTTGTTTTATTATGAACTCCCCCTCATCAGATCTACAGTGAGTAGTTTACATGTCGCCTAAGTAAATATACTTCTAAATGTTCTGTTGACATGAAATCCTTCCCAGACATCGGCAACAACCCGTCTAGCAAGCAAATCACCCATCAACATCCATGTGTTAATGACATGGAAAAAGTACTGACCCCAGAGGCCGGCTGGAATCAACAAGGCTCGTGCGGCATCTCTGGATCTGAAGCTGCTGCATGCTCCGCTGCATCAGAATTTTACGATACCCTTGCCACCAGTTTGGTGGGGTTTAGAAACAGGATCGTCTAACTACTGTCTAAAGTATATAAGACACTGTCCAAAATAGACGATAAAATTGCAATCCCTATTGAAAAGTGGGAGGTGGATCTATCAGTTAGCTTTGACCAGGGCTTCTGGTCCCAAACTTGTTTAAAAACTTTTAAAATGATCAGACACCCCAATTTACAATTAATTCAGTACAAAATTCTACACAGAGTACACTATACAGGTCATCGGATGTTCAAGATGGGGGTTGTGTCGTCTGACACCTGTACACACTGCACAAACAACATTCCTGACAATTACATTCATGCACTGTGGTCCTGCTCACCTGTCCAGGAATTTTGGGGTAGAGTATGTGAGGATCTGTCAAAATGTCTGAAATGTCATATCCCAACTTCCCCCTCTCTTTGTTTACTGGGACAGCTGCACGATGTCCCGATTGCAACATCTTTGGTTCACGTGGTTCTGACTGCCATGTGCATCGCTAAGAAAACTATCCTCTTGAATTGGAAAAATAGAGAAACTCTCTGCATTAACCAGTATAGAAATCTTTTGTTAGATCATATTGCACTTGATATAGCCTCTGCTTCCACTTCAGATGAATCTCTCTGGGCTCCTTTGATCGGTTCCATCACATAGCGAGGGTGGGGGGCCATTGATGTTGTCCTGCGGGATGGTGTGGGTGGGGGGGTGTGGGGTCTGAGTTTGGAGTATCCGGATGTTCCCTGGAGGTGGGTTCACTGGGGGTGTCTGGGACTGGGGGGCTGTTGCCCCCCTCTGGAGGTGCTTGGGTTGCCTCGGGGGGTGGACTGCTGGCGGTTGTGAGTGGGGCCCCTTGGGGATCTTGGCGGCAGCCATGGGTCACTGTCTGGCGGCTGCAATACCCCTGGGCGGGTCTGGGTGGGGGCCTGGGGGCTCGGGGTTTGGGGGTGCCCGGCCCCGTGTGGGGATCTGGGCGGGGCCTTGGGGGTCGGGTCCTGACATGTATGCTGCCGGGAAGAAGGCAGGAACACGCAGCAGTGCCTGGCCCGGGTTCGGGGGCATCAGGTAGACCTTGGCTCCACTGCCGTTCCATCACAGGGGAGGGGGAGGTCCAGGACGGGGAGGACCAAACCTTACCTGGATGTCCCATGTCTTATATATTCTGGAAGTTGTGCAAATGCGGGGGTGGGCATAGATATTCTGCTGGGATGGGGCTGGGTTGGTGCCCTCGGACTCCGTGAGGCTCTGTAATGCTGCTGCTTTGGGCCCTGGCAGGATGGGCTGGGGTCTCCATGCTCTGGGTGGCAGTTTGACAACAGAGGTGCCTACTGGGGCCAGTAGGGGAGCTGGCTCCCTGGAGGGCTAAGCCCAACCAGCCATTCCTCCCCATCCCCACATATTTCTCTCCTCCTGCTCCCTCACATCATCACACAAACATACACATAGGACCTTGGGGGGTGGGCAAGTCAGGGAGTGCGGGTATGGACCCCATTTCCACATTCCTGTGGCAACCTGCCCCCCAATTTTATTTGCACCTTATACACTTCCACTGACGACATTCCACACAAACACACACTTAGGGCCTTGGGAGTGAGCACATTCAACGGCATTTGGCAGGGGGATATTTCAGCCTCCTCCCGAGTGCCGGTGCCCACTTCCAATTTTAAACCGCACTTAGACACTGATGGCTGAGGGTGTAAGTGGGGTGGTGCGGTGGCATCAGCTGGCATATGTCGGATGATGCCCGCACTGCCCACTCACCACAGCCATGGAATACACCTCATGATCACACAACACTATATTGGAGCAGGTGGAGGGAGACTGGGGGTCTTAGCCACCTCTGTTGTTGCTAGGCTTCCTGGGGCTGGAGGCTAGGAGGGAGATCTGGCCGTCTGGTTGGGGTCTGGGGTGGTGGGTTGCTGTGCTCGGCGTTGGGCGGGGGAGCCTGCTCATCAGCACCCCAGCAGAAAGGGTCAAACTCTGGTTACTGGTGATGGTTGTACCCCATGTGCAGCAGTACCGGGACCAGAGTTAATAGGGTGTGTATGGGGAGCATGAGTGAGTGTCCGGCGTGCATTTTTGTAAGTCTTGGGTTGTATGTGCATGTGTGAGCATGAGGGAGGGAGTGTGTGACTGTGTTTGTGTATGACTGTATATGTCAGGTGGGGCCTTTGGGTCCTCCCCTCTCCTGGAACTTCTCTTGATGATATAGATCTTTGTCCCCCCTCCCCCTGCCACACCTGGTGTGGGGGCTTGTGCCATGGTCTGCCTGAGTGTTCGTGGCAACCGGGTCTGGGGGTTTAAGATTTTGGCATCTGCCTGATAGATCCCGGTGGCTGTCTGGTGGGGTCTGGGTCCCTGGGCTCTGCTGGGTCCCCTGCGGGGGTGGTCACCCCTGGGTCCCGGGTCGCTGGGTCCCGGGCTCGGCCGGCTAGGGGGTGGGAGGCTGCGGGCGGGCCTGTGGGCTTGCCGCTGATATCTCCAGGGACTCTGCCGGCTGCTGGTTGTGCCCCCCGGGGCGATCCTCTGTGCCTCTCGAGGGGGGCGGGGGCCTTTCTGGTTGCAGTCTCCTTGGGGTTCCTGCATTCTGGGGCAGCGCCTGGATCTCTGGGACTTGGAGCTCCCCCCGTCTCCTGCGCATCTTTGGGGGGCGGATCTGTGGTCCCTCACACTCTCTGTTGGACGCTCCTATAGAGAAACCTTAAATAAACAAGCGCGTGTACACACACAGGTGCTCACATGGTGCTCTCAAAAGTATGGGCTTGGGCACATTCAACACATGTCTTAAGACTATGGGGGGCACTTAATGCATTGTGATTTATTATCGTGATTCTTCAGTTAAGCAATGTTGATTATATATATATATATATATATATATATATATATATATATATATATATATATATATATATACATATACATATATATATTGTTTTTTTTGTTTTTTTTTCATCAAGTTGACGCAGTGATAGGTAGATCTTGTTGTATTGTTGTTGTGTCCCTTTTTTGTGTCCTTTTGTTTTTTTTTTGTCTTTTTCTGCAGGTCTAGAAGCAGACTCTTGTTCATTGTTTATTTTTGTGGACCCCCCCCCCCCCCCCCCCCCCCCCCCCCCTCCACCTTTTCTCTTCCTTTCTCTTTCACCTCTGTCTCCGTGTCTGGTCGGAATTACAAAGCATTCAACAACAATAACAATAAAGTTTTATGTATCAGGCGTGACATTAAAAGCAAACGCTTTGATGCTCCACCTGAGAATAAATCTGTAAGGCTTGTCACCAGCATTCAGACATCAATTCTGCTTGCTTCACAGCCAGACAGGACACGGTAAAAAAAAAAAAAGAAAAAAAAAAAAAAAAGAAACTGGATCGTCTGGAGAGACTTCTCCTGGCCAGCACAATCCCTGGGTCCAAACCAGCAAGAGGTAAGCCCGGTACTAGACCCACGTCGAGTAGTCCGGTCTGGTTCCCCACGAAAGTAAGGCCTCTACAAGCGCGAGCCGGGTCTGCCCACTCAAAAGGTCAGGGGCTGTACCGGTATGCTGGATCACAAGTAAGGCATTTAAGAAATGCGTCGATAGAGTCTTGATGTCGAGATAAATTTCAAAAGAGGAACTGATAAAATAAGATTAACTAGACAGGTAGAACTCTCATTAGGAGACACTATTCAGCCTTAAAATTTAGCAGTTATTAGTGGTCCTAAGGTGACGGGCATTCTATTGTCCAGTTACTTCACACATGAAGAAAGTATAGTAGACCGTTTAGAAGGACTTTGACAACAAACACACAGCAAAGGAAATGCTAAAACGCAATTTCATAGAAAGAACATAATTGTGCTACATTGGCCCAGCCAATCATATGAAATGAAACCTGTAGAAAACATATGGAGAGAACAAAAGCCCAGAGGTCAGAACAAGGCCAAAATGAATGAAAATGAGCCAGAATCACACCTGCGCAGTGGTGCAGTGGTTAGAGCTGTTGCCTTGCAGCAAGAAGGTCCTGCATTCGCTTCCTGGCCTGGGATCTTTCTGCATGGAGTTTGCATGTTCTCCCTGTGTATGCGTGGGTTCTCTCCGGGTACTCCGGCTTCCTCCCACAGTCCAAAAACATGACTGTTAGGTTGATTGGTCTGTCCAAATTGTCCTTAGGTGTGAGTGTGTGTGTGCATGATTGTTTGTCCTGTGTGTCTCTGTGTTGCCCTGCGATGGACTGACTCTCTGTCCAGGGTGTACACCGCCTGATTGCCCACTGACCACTGGAGATAGGCACCAGCCCAGTTTCATGCAGCACTTAAAGTATATTAGACTCATTTTACTTTACATCTTTTAGCTTTCACCAGCACATCAATATCAGAAGTCACATCCTGAGTGGCAGCCAACTTCAGGATGTGACTCAAGTTCTTGTGTGAGCCTTGAGTGCAGCTTTGTTTCATTTATACTCATTACAGAGGAAACTTGCTCACAAAGATAAGTTTATTTTCACTCTACATTGTAAAGTATGAAAATAAAGTTTACACAACCATCTCGCGGGCCGAATTTAACCCGCTTGCGGGCCGAATCCGGCCCGCATGTTTGACACCCCTGGACTAGATTCTCCATACAGGAGGTCTCTTAAATCATTTACTGCCATTGACGACTAATGTAGTCATTTTAAATTCAACCACTTGCTGCCATTGATGACTAAAGTCGTCAATGCGACTACAATGATAATTTTTTTTTACTGGGCAGGCGACGGAACGAGCCCCCGCACCATGAGAGCAAACATCACGGGTCTAGAGCTGATCTTCATCCACGTTTGTCACACGTCACATGATCAGGAAGCAGAAAATCAATGAATTAGGAGATCATTTTGGGCCGCTGCTGTGAAAAAAGTGAGGCACGAAATGGAAAAGCTTCTGCCGATCACAATTAGACAACGGATTATGAAAGAACAGACAACACTAGAAACACGCAAATTCTTCCTGATGTAAGAAGTGAGTCTACTCTTTGTCTTGATAGTTTTGGCGTTGACTTCATCATAGAGCGCAATGTTCTGTGACTCATCAAAAAACAGTAAAAACGCTGGCAGTCAGGCTTTTCTGATGAGGATATGGCTGCTAGTGAATGAGTTAAAGCTGTAATATCCAACAAACTTGTGTAAGAAGTGATAAACACATTTCAGTTACCATCTTTAATACTTTTTCCCTCTGTTTCTTTTTGTTTGTCTTATTACACCTAAACTAATGTATGGACATCAACGGGTTTCTGTATTTACATGTGTGGAAAGGATGGGTTGTTGGCTAAATCTGGTGAGATATCTTGGTTCTGCTTCTCAAGGGCCAAAAAAACATGAAAGCACCCATGCTGCACTCATGCCCAAGAAATTATTATAAGTAATGTTGGAAATGCAGTGATTTTTGTTCTATGACTTGAAATAGAAAATTAATAGGACAAGAATATGGAGGTAGAGATGTAATACCAAAAGACAATGTTTTCAAGGCCAGACGCTTCCCAGACACATCCAGTGTTATCGTGAGAGCTCGTTTTCCACCAGAATGAAGTTGGTACGCAGCTGTCAGAGTTGCACAACACAAAAGAAATGTGGCAAATATTTGCACGTAACTTCTTAATGAAGGAATCAATACACTGCTTTAAATATTGTTTCAGTATCACAACACAAAAAAAATCACAATAGTTTACCGTTATTTTTTACATCCCTAGAAATTAATCTTCCTGCACTGCAAAACTTTCTTCATGCACTAATTAAGAGGTTTGCTAAATGTCAAAAATCTGCTCATTTCAAACTCAGACTATAAGCAATGGATTATGCAAGGATGCTAATTCTAGACTCTATTACAGGTACAAGTAGCTATAGCTGGAACTCTTACTCTTCCTTAAGCCGAAACTCATCTAGACTGATAAGAATAATTCATGGGAATCATTTCAAACAGCAACTTGATGATAATTACCTGTGACCCCATCTTTGTTACCAAGCAACCAGAACTCATCCACAACACTGATCACCTCGATGACATCACCAGCAAAAAGTGGGAGCTCCTCGGAGACGCTGGGGAGGAACTCGAACACAGCACGCACCACCGACCCTGGCTCCATTCCTCATCACCTGCAGGGGGCAACAGAGCGATACAGGAAACATTATTGAAGGAAACACAAAACATAGAACAGCAACATGACAAAGTTCAGGTGAAAGCCTTCTGTTTGTTTAATAAGAAAACCAGTGGGTACCTTTCTAAGTCACTGATATGTAAATCAGCCGATGTCCGTGAGAGAGCAAAGCTTTGTGAAATACGACCAGTTTAGAAGAGTAGAGAGAGCGTGAGAAATGTGGGACAGGCAGGGGACAGAGAATAACAAGAGAAAGAAAAAAAGAGCTCTACTTAAGATGGATAACCTACATTCCTCAGTCCTCCTCTATTCCAAGGGAACAAGCATCAAAGAACGGGAATATCTTTAAGTTTCTCACAGTAACATTAGATCAATTATTCATATTAATTCAGCCATGTATTCACTACATTTTTTCCTTTTATTCATTACTCAAATCAGTACACATTTTGTAGCTGATATGATAAGATTCAGGAGCTAGCATTTTAGGGGTTTTGTAGCAACTGAAGAAGTTTAATAAATAGATTAGTGAATAATTACAGGAAAACAAAGCCTGTGTTGCTTAAATAACTTCTATACTCTTTGGAGTATTTGGCTGCCAATTAAATGATAAATGATAAATGACCCGTACTTGTATAGCGCCTCTCAGAGTAAGCTGGACAGAATGAAGAAGAGGAGACAAGAGAGGAGGGCTGCAGTTTGTCACAATTATGAGATCTCTGTTGGAATCAACATGTGCTGGACATGATCCACAGCTTTATTTTTGCCTAAGAAAAGTTGCAAAATGTTTGGCTGGGTGTGAACGACTACGCACATAAACCACAATTAAACCAGCAGTGTAAGGGAATAACAGTTTAACAAAAAAATTATGCAGCTGACTAGCCTGGCAAGCCAGACTAAATAAATGTATTATTTAGTAAACTTTGCAAAGCAAGAATTGGTCTAGTTCACTAGGCTAGCAGCTGACAGCTCTGAGTTGAAGTGAGAGTTGGACTCTGACACGGCTGTTTTTGTTACCAGTTCTGTTCATAACTTTTATGGACAAGATTTCTAGGCGCAGCCAAGGTGTTGGGGGATCTGTTTTGTTGGCCTGAGGATCGGGTCTCTGCTTTTTAAGATGATGTGGTCCTGTTGGCTTCATCAGAATGTGATCTCCAGGTTTCGTTGGAGCGGTTCGCAGCAGAGTGTGAAATAACTCTAAAGAGAATCAGCTCCTCTAAATCTGAGACCGTGGCCTTGAGTCAGAAAAGGGTAGAATGACATCTCCAGGTCAGGGATGAGGACCTGTCTCAAGTGGAGGAGTTCAAGTATCTCAGGATCTTGTTCACGAGTGAGAGAAAAGTGGAGAACAAGATCGATAGGTGGATTGGTGCTGCATCTGCAGTGATGTGGGCGTAATTACCTGTCATGGTGAAGAGAGTGCTGAGCCAGAAGGCGAAGCTCTTAATTTACCGGTCAGTCTACGTTCCTACCCTCACCTATAGTCATGAGTAGTGACCGAAAGAACAAGATCGCGGATACAAGCGGCTGAAACGAGTTTTCTCCACAGGGTGGCTGGGCTCTCCCTTAGAGACAGGCTGAGAAGCACAGTCATCCGGGAGGGGCTCGCAGTAAACACGCTGTTCCTCCACATCGAGAGGAGCCAGCTGAGGTGGCTTGGGCCTCTAGTTAGGAAGCCTCCTGGATGCCTCCCTGGTGAGGTTTTCTGAGCACGTCTCACTAGGAAAATACTCAGAGGAAGACCCAGGACACGCTGGAGGGACTATGATTCTCGGATGGCCTGGGAACACCTTAGGGTTCCCCCGGAGAAAGCTGGCCCAAGTGGCTGGAGAGAGAGAAGTTTGGGCCTCTCAGCTTAGGCTACTGCCCCCGCAACCCGACCTAAGATAAACGGCCGAAAATGAATGGATGAATGGATAATGCAGCTGACTCCTGCTGCACACACAACACAATTGTAAATGCAGTTTAAGTAACTTTTTTGTTCAAAGTTTCACCACAAGATGGCACTGTGATTTTGTGATTGCCCTAGTAAGTTTATTTAACATGTTTATTGAAAGTATTATTTTTCATGTTTTTCAATACATTTTGTAGCATTTACAGGTGCACAGAATTAATACTTTTTGATATTTGAGTAATTTTGAATTGGTTTATTTTGATAAGGCATGTTTAAGAGCGCTGTGACGTCACTTCCTGTATCTCGAAGCTTCGGAGATTTTATTGCTGCGCACGGACAAATGTGTGCCAGTTAAGAACATTTGAGAAGAAGGTAAAGTGTTTTCAAGTCTACCGGTTTGTCTACTAGCAGGCCAAAGTGGTATGTTTATTCTTTATTTACAAATTCTGTATGTTAGCCAACTTAAGGCAACTAACTTGTTAATTTGTACATGATTTATGCTTTTTCATTAGTTCTACGGTGTTCATGTGGTGTAAAGAGTAAGAAGACGCAAGACCGCATTAAACATCAGTAAAAGGAACGCTCGTGTCTCTCGTGTATGTGAACAAGCCGGCACAGTAGAACACTACACTGCCTCGGAGGAGACGGTTGGAAGCAAGCTATTAGCAAGGGATGCTACCGACATGCTAAGGGAAGTATCACGTGTTTGGACAAACACATGAAACAAGCTAACAAGCAGAAGCTAAATAAGCAAGCACTCAAGTTTGTGTCTTGAAAGTAGCGCAAGCGCTTGTGGATTGTTGCACTGAATGTGGCTTCTCCATCAAAAGGAATAGCAGTTTGCATCAATTAAGATTAAAGGTACATGGCCAAAATTGAAATAAGTTCATAAAAGTGATATCAAAACAAAATGGCAGATGAAAGTAAGCCCACTGTAAGTTGTGCTGAGCTTAAAACACAAGATGATGAAAGGCAAGTGGATACAGAAGAACAGCCAAATGGAGAGGAAGCTCAACAGTCCTCAATATCTATTAATTCACAATCAGAAAACCCACGCAGAAGCCAGCGCACACGCACACTCACTGAAAAGGGAAAATCTTTGGAAGATGCAAAGTTACATGGTTTGACCAAGGATTTTCAGCGATTCTATAAGAAATGGAAATATCACATAAACTCTTTTAAGAGAATGGTGAAAAATGAAGATATTGATTTAATACCTGAAGCTGTGAGTGCCATAGACGCCATTATGACTGATATCTGCAACACATATGATGATATTAGAAGGATTGAAAGTCCTGATGTAGAAATACGGAGAAGATGTGATGTTTGTTGTGCTGTCAGTGAAGCTGCCAGAGCAAAGGCAAAGTGCCTTTTGGAGGAAAATGGGGATCCAGATAGTATTCCTTGGCCAGATTCTGAATCTGTGTTTGAAAGCAGTACATCCAGCATCAGCTCAAGGATCACATTTAAGTCAAAGTCCATCTCTGAAATGTCCAGGCAGTCATCTCTAGTTTCACTGCAACAAAGACAGGAAGCTGCAGCTGAAGTGGCAGCAACAGAAGAGGTAATTAAAATAATGAAAACACAACATCAATGTGAGGAAGAAATCAGAGAACTTGAAGTTGAGGATGCAAAGAAAAGAGCCCAATTTCTAACAGAGAGCACTACAATAAAGACAAAATTGGAAGAGAAAAGAAAAGAAGTGGAACTATTGAAAGAGCTGCAAAAGCACAATGCAGCACAAGCAAGATTAAAAGTGTACGCTGAAAGCATAAAAAATGAGGGTGAAGAACCGCCTACTAGTGTACATTTACAAGTCAAACAAGATAGCTCCCTTCTACCATCACGCTTTCTGAATGTTCACTCAAAGCCATTCATTCCTTCTCAAGTTAAAGATCCTGCAAATCAACGATTTGTCCAGAAAACAGAAATTCCAATTGCATGTGAAGCAGCCTCCATTGATCTTGTAAAGACACTTGCTGAAGCAATCACAGCCAATAGACTTCCAGTGCCTGAACCTGCAGTCTTCACAGGTGACCCGCTGCAGTATAATGACTGGAAGCTGTCTTTTCAAACATTGGTTGATCGCAAAAATCTGCCAACACAAGAAAAGCTTTTCTTCTTGAGAAAGTACGTTGGAGGTTCAGCTAAGAAGGCTATCGAAGGTCACTTTCTAGCTGGAACAGATACAGCATATTGTGCTGCTTGGGAAATGCTCGAAGACAGATTTGGAGATCCTTTTGTGATTGGCAAGTCTTATCGTGACAAGATTCAATCATGGCCTAAAATCACAGCCAAGGACTGTAAAGATTTACGTGAGTTTGCTGATTTCTTAACAAGTGTTGAATCAGCCATTCCATATGTCCAAGGTTTACAAGTTTTAAATGACTGTGTGGAAAATCAGAGAATAGCAGCAAAGTTACCTGATTGGTTAAGTGCACGTTGGAACAGGAAAGTTACAGAGTTCCAAGATGAACACAAAATGTTTCCTGACTTCAGTCATTTTGTTAAATTTTTAAATAAAGAAGCAAGAATTGCATGCAACCCGATTACCTCACTACAGGCAATAAAGCCAACTGAATTTGATAACAAGCATCCATACAAAGACAAATCAAGAAGAAGTGGTACCCTGAGTGCTAAAACTCTTAACACAAGCTCAAATGAAAAGACATTTGTTACATGTCTCTTTTGTAAGAAACCTGGTCACACACTACATAAATGTCGAAAGATGATGGAAATATCAGTTGAAGAAAGAGTTAAGTTTGTGAAGGCTGAAAACCTGTGCTTTGGTTGCCTCAAGTATGGTCATAACTCTAAGAACTGTAAGTCTAGAAGTGTGTGCGACAGATGTCAGAAACCTCACCCAAGTTGTCTACATCAAGACAGGGAAAAGGGGGATAAAGAGAAAAGAGCAAAGAATAAACAACAACCAACAAACCACAATCAGGAGACAGAAAAGGTGTCTGAAGCACAAGAGCAAGAATCTCAGCAAGTCACATCCAACAGAGTATTACAACAAAAATCAAAGGGTTGTACTTCCTCAGTTATCCCAGTTTATGTATCGACCGTGGATGAACCAGAGAAAGAAAGGCTTGTGTATGCTTTGC